ACGTATTTAACAAAAACACAGAAAAAAAAGCAAGAACATCCCGACAGCCTTTAAACTTTTTTAAAAGTCATTTAAAATATGCAAAAATGTAAATATATAAATCAAATTTAATTTTTTTTTTCATTTACAATTTCATTTCGATTTTACACGAATTTAATAATTTTACATAAACATGAAAAAGGATGTTTAAATATTGCCAGCATTTGCTGTTCCATTTATAGTACATCACGGTTTTTTTATTGCTTCTGAAATTGTTAACTCCTAGTAATTTTATTAAATGTTTTTTATAGTTATCCTTATGTGTCATGGGTCATAGGTTGTCAGTATTTCGAGCTACTGTTGAAACCTTCAACGAGCGCAACTTCAGTTGAAAAATGTAAATTTTAACATTGACAGTGAACACAAGTTTTATGGGATTCAACCTATTCAGGGGTTACTAACAAGCCACCCATCTTGCTGGAAGGTGATTAAATCCGACGCGATTTATTGGATTTTTATTTTTAATTAGTAGCAAAGGTAGAAAGGTACGATATTGATGTACAACAGCAGCATCTCCACGCGTTTACAACGTTAGGGCAAAATCCATGGAGGTGTTATATACTTCACGGTCTAAGCGATAATAAAATTGTAAACGGTTTTCAACATTAAAATTGCCATCATTGTTATTGTTGTTTTTGTTGTTTGTAAACAGAAAGTTCTGAAATGTTTTAAGTACTTCTAAGGATGTTTTGTTGTTGTGTTCTAGGTGCTCTGCTAAATATTATGCTTATAAATAACTTTTGAATGGAAAATGATATAAAAGCGTTTGGAAATTAATACTTAAATGTTGGTACATAAAATTAAATTAATTATAACAAAAACTTTTATATAATATTTTAATTAGAACGGCGAGAGAAATGTTCTAAGGCTATAAAGAAACCTGAGTTGAGAGGCAGAATAATGAGTTTGCTAAAACAATGCGGCTTTGTGTACAACAATTGCAATAACAACAAGGACAGAGTTTTTAAACATATATCTATATAGTTATGTATGCACAAAATTTTGTCATAATTTGAAGAATTTAATATTTTAGTAAAAAACTTAATGTATTTAAAGAAATTAAACTTATGTATTTTTAACAAGGTGTGCAAGAAAATAATGTAGTTTGAAATATGATTGAAGCAAAATGATAAATATGAGATAAAATTAAATTACTTATCAAAAATAACCACAAAAAGGATCCAATACTGTAAGATATCCCATGATATCAAATATCTTATTAGCGTGTCTTGGATAATATACAATTTTATTCTGAAAAAAAAATTTCATCAATCACACACACTTTCGGAACTATAAAATGACCGTCTATATAATATAATAACACTCTATATAAACAATAAAAATTTAAATCTTATTTAATTACTAGAAACGTTAACTATAAATTTATCGATATGATGTAGACTTGGTACTAGTACATTAAAAAGAAATATATTTTATTATTAAATCAATTTATAATATACTTTAACATTACGATCATCTTCCACTAGACTTCCCTGGGGCTGCTTGTCAAAGGTGGTCGATATATTGGACAAAATAATAAATTTCAAATTAAATTTTAAAAAAAATAATGAAAACAAACGTATTTGTGCTCCAAAATATTAACTCAATAGTAGTCTATAAAACACATTTAAGGTTCACGAATAGTATATTCTGCAATCCACGAAAAGTATACATATTATTTTAAAATATACAATCAATTTTATTTATTACTTACTTTGCTTAAATTTACATGTGGATTAATATATGTACACACTTTTTATAAAAATATTTCTAATAAATGTCTGCGAAAATTGTAAAAATCGGTTTAAAAACGTTATCTATTTCCAATATATAAAATTTTAATTTAATCATTTAAAGCTAAAATGTTTGCTCTAAAAGTGTGTTAATATACATATCAAGGATAACAACTGTACAAATAAAAGCAAACACTACAAAGTACCAATAAAAACGATAAGCTTCTACACAATTTTTAGTGTTCGTTAAGTAACAATCAATTGTGTTTACTGTCAGTGAAAAGGTAATTATGGAAAACTTTGCTCAAGTATAATGCACTCAGTGCACAAAGTGTTTGAAATTATTAAATAAAACACACAAAAAAGTATCAATCAATCAAAATTTAATTTGTCAAATATATTAGGCACTATCGAGTGCCATAGAATTGTGTCAGTCATTGATCTAATCCTCTATACATGTTTCGCATGCTTTTGAAATATGACTTTTAAATCGTTCAGGTACTTTTCTTTATGGTCACAATCGAATCGAAACATATAATATCTCTCAAAGTTGTAATTTTAGGTTTACAAAGACTCAAAAAGCCTACTGCGCCTTGTTAAGGAAGGATTATATATTTTCATACCTTAAAATTTATTAGAAATTATGTATATATTTTTAAAAACTTCTAATAATTGTACACAATACGTAATTCTTATATTATTTATTTATGTATGTTTATTACACATATCTATTTTCAAGTAAAATAATACAAGTATAGAAAAAATGTATTCTAAACCCTGTTAGACGATCGATTTATGACTGTTGTGAGAGATGTGATACCTAATAAAAGATAAATTGAAAATCATTCAAATAAGCCGGGTATTGATATCGACAGCATTAATTTGATAGATATAGGAGACGTGCATATACATATTTTATTATTATAACGTATAATAAATAACTTAATAATAAATGTGTAATATTATGATACTTCTTTTACTTAAATTAAAATAGGTATGACTCTTATATTAAGAAATTATGAAGAAGAAAAATAATTAATTAATTCTTTCCTTGTAATTATTTTAATAACTGTTCGAATATAAAAAGTAGTAGTCTGTTTTTACTTAACAGACATTATTGCACCATTCGGTTTCTAATAGAATCCATAATCTTATTAGGATAATCTTATTAGGTTAAGTGTATTTAATTACACTAGTTTCTTTAAGCTAAAATCCTAAAGAGTTAGGTTTTTGTCTACACAGAGCAAAACATTGCAGTGCTCAATTGTTTCTTGCATGATTTTATACTGGCAACTTCTTCAGAAATTTCTATGATGGGCATCTAATCTAGTTATATGAATATATATCAAACAAAGGCTTATAAAGATGACTGTATGCAGATTGATATTTATTCAATCTTTAACTTATGGGCGTTTTGTCTTTTGTGGGTTACTTTTGTTTTGTATTGTTTTGATACGTGACAGGTTTGTTTAATCTCACAATTACTTTCGGTTTTTCGAACTACTTTTTGTACTTTTTTTATTGTAAATATTTATTGACTTCATTGATTTATTTGCATCTGAAATATAATTTTTTTTGTTGTACGAAGCAACTTATTGAATAAAATCTTAAACATGAGAGTATTAATCTTATTTTTAGTTCACTACAAGTACCAAAACCAAAACTTTGACTATATACAGTAGTTCACGGATAAATGTGTTCATAAAAATGACGATATCTAATTACATATCTCTGAGCAGTTCCATTAACCAACAATTTTTATTTTGAAACGTTTATTTGTAACAGAATTTATGGTGCATTATCAATAGTTTTTAGTTTAAAATATTAATTTGTGACTTGAATTATCGCGTATTTAATAGTAGCGTAAAAAATTTATTCATGAACTACTAGAATCATGACTTATTTTTGGCAATGTATAGCTAACAAAAATGTTTTCATACGCAAAGATAATTCGTTTTTATTGTTGTTTTTTCAGTGTCCTACACTGTTTTGAAACAATTCTTGTATTTACAACATAACAGATAATTGGCATATCCATTAATGTTTTATTACTTCAGTTCATGAATTTCGTAAATATTTCAAGTTCAAAGTTCAGTGAATATGTCAAAGCATTATACGTTATTGTTACGTATACGAAGGGAATACATAAATAATATAAGAATTATTTTTATTTATTTGTGTTTCTTTTTCGGTGATATGCACGAGTATCTCAAAAGTACCTATTTAGTGGCTTACAGCCGGCTCAGCGTTGGTGTAGTGGCTTTCATATTTCCGTCAACATGTTGGTCATTTAGTGCGATAAGCAAAAAAACTTTTTGCGCTTTTATTCTACAACAAAATTTAATTGAATATTTCAAGTTGTAAAAGATAAATTGAAATGAAATTGCCACTAATAAAAATGAATTTAATATCCTGCCGACATGACAGCAATGATGGGAACGTTACTCACACTCCAATGTGTACGAGTACGAGAGTCGAACTATGTAAACACCAGCAAAGCACGCCGCCATATTGCAAACATGGTCAAGGTACAGTGCAGGTTGCTTATAATTCTGTAATCTGATTGTTGTGTTAGATTGAATTTATGTACCACAACACTTCAAAACGGAGTAGGTACTCCCATATGTGCCTGATAGTGTTTTGTTTAAAAGCATTTATTTCTTTTTTAATTAAGATATTAACTGGGAGAGATTGTGTGGAAATTCTTCTTATTTTTTTTTTTTGTTAGATCTCTGCTCTGTGCTGTACGAGTAGTTGTGGTAAAAGTTATGTGAAAGCGCATTATACTTGGTTTAACTGAAAACAATGGAAAAGCATAGCGATTCTGTTGAAATCAAATTAAAATTATGGCCATGGTATAAAATGACAAACACAATAAAAGTGTTAAATAAAATTGATTCCTTTTTTTTTTGAAAATTTTTTGCTGTTGTTAAAGGTCAGCATAAATAGGATTAAAAACACAATTTGTTTATGTTTATTTTGATTAATTAATTAATTTACACTTTGTCTACTTCCTGTGTACATTTTAATTGAATTTCGTATCAGAAATTTATTCAGCTTTTAACTTTAATTAATCAAACAGCCATCGAGTAACCTTGTTGCTCGACTTTTCTTCTTTGCAAATGT